AACATAGCTTCATAAGGACTTTGGTTTATTCCGGAGTGGTGGGCTCTGTTCTTCATGAACTGTATAAATTTTAATCCTTCCGACCATTTTGTAGTTTTGTTTGTCTCCAACCATGTAGATAACATCTTCTCAATATCCTGGTTAGCTCTTTTAATAGAACCTTGTGATTGACTGTGCCGCGGCTTTCCGTGCACAATTTTTGGTTCATTCCACATGTGACACAACTCTTCAATTACCTTATTTGCGAATTCTCGCCCATTATCAGTATGTAATATACAAGGAGCTCCAAATATTGTGAACACATCTAACAAGTGGTAAGCAACTTCTTCGGCGCGCTTGGTTTTTAGTGCTCTAAGCTGTAAAAATTTTGTCAGGTGGTCTTGATATACCATAATGAACTTAAACTCGCCATCTGCTTGAGATTGCATGTCGATGAGGTCAACTTGGCATCTCGAATTAAATTCGTTGCTTTTAATGGGCTTAACAACTAACTAACCCTTTTTTTTTGGACAAGTCACTGCGTGTTTACGATTAACTCTTTTAAAATTTACCGCAGCTATGTGTAAATTATTAATAATAACCGGTCAATGTGATAAATTTGTTACTTTAACCCTGCATGTTAGTTAGTATTAATAATTATTAATATTAACTAATCACAGGGGAACAAAACGATTTTTTTTTCTGCGGCCTAATTTTATGGAGCCAATTTAAAGGCACATCATTATTAGATTGTTTGAATTGACTCTAGTTTTCGTGATAAACCGATCTATATAAAATGAAAAGACAGCTTTAGATAATTTACCATAAATCGACAATTAGTTGTCTGATTGGGAATAATATAATATCAAGCTCACCCTAAGATGGCCATTGACATATAGGACTACAGCCTTCACATTCACTTTCACTATTTTTTTCATTTTTAATACTATCTAACATTTCATAAAATTACAAGTAAACACCTATATTGGTAAATCTTTACTAAGCAGCATGGGTGATACTTATAGCAGAGTGTTACACATCTGGGATCGCATACGCGTTTTTTATTTATTGCTCTTTTCCTCGTCAACTTGTTTTCATTGTATAAATTGTGGAACTGGTATTTTTATTAAAATAACAAAACCCTCGAAATATCAAATAGCCTTAAAATTTTAACATTGTCTTTTTTGATCACTATTCGGTGTAGTTTACTCATTCTTGTGTCATTTTTTTTTATTGTCATCTTGACGTAGTTGTTGAAAATAAAAAAGTATGAGTGGATCATCACGCAAGTCCTGTGTTAATAATCCCGACCATTTCTGCTATATATGTGGTAAATATTGTCAGGAAAAGCAACGAAGGAATATAAACGATTTCGTGAAACAAGCCTATCAGGCATATTTTGGAAAACACGTTGGACAGCAAGATAAATGTTGGGTTCCGCATAAAGTTTGTAAAACTTGTGTGGAGTCACTCAGATACTGGACACAAGGAGGTCGAAAAGGGCTGCCATTTGGCATACCGATGACTTGGAGAGAGCCAAGAAACCACTTTGATGACTGCTATTTTTGCGCTGTAAATGTAAAGGGTATGAATCGGTATAAAAAGCGTTCATGGATTTACCCAGATGTACAACGATCAGCTAAGCCACCAACGTTGCATAGTAAAGATTTACCAACACCGGAATTTACTTCTTTACCCGGCGATTGTTGTGATGATGTTGAAATGTTAGACGTTAGCAGTAGCAGTGAACACAGCAGTGAAAGTGAATTCGAAGAAAGTAGTCCTACACGAAAAGGGTTTTCTCAGAGTGAGCTTAAACGACTTGATTCGAGATTTAAATTTATCGAAGAAATCAGCTGAGCTTCTTGCGTCAAGACTGAAAGAAAAACATTGCCTTCATCCTGGCGTGTCAATAACAAGTTATCGAACTAGAGAGCGCGATATTCTTCCTTATTTTACAAATTTGAATATCGTATATTGTAATAACATTTCTGGGCTTTTAACTTTAATGGGCCCTCCAGAATATCAACCACAAGACTGGCGACTATTCATAGATAGTTCTAAAAGAAGTTTGAAATGTGTGTTACTGCATAACAGAAACGTGTTAGCATCAATCCCAATAGGTCATTCCACTATACTTAAGGAAGAATATAAAAACATCAAGCTTGTTTTAGAAAAAATTTCATACGATCAACATCAATGGCAAGTGTGTGTAGATTTAAAAATGGTAAACTTTTTATTGGGGCAGCAGAGTGGATACACAAAATATCCTTGCTTTCTATGTCTGTGGGATAGTCGAGCGAAAAATGAACACTGGACCAGGAAAGTCTGGCCATCGAGACTTAACATGGATGTAGGAAAAGCAAACATCATCGAAGAACCATTAATAAGTCGCGAAAAAGTTATCCTGCCTCCCCTCCATATAAAACTTGGACTTATGAAACAATTCGTGAAAGCTTTAGATAAGAACGGCGACTGCTTCAAATATATTTGTGAATCATTTCCTGGTCTCAGTATCGAGAAGTTAAAAGCAGGTATTTTTGACGGTCCCAAAATTCGCTCCCTTATTAAAAACCAAGATTTTAAAAACCATATGAATCAAGTTGAATCGGAAGCATGGTCAAGCTTCGTATTGGTTGTCGAAAATTTTTTAGGAAACCACAAAGCTGAAACACATTATGAATTGGTAGACAACATGCTTAAAAAATTCCAAAAACTGGGAGTTAACATGAGCGTGAAACTGCATTACTTGCACAGCCATTTAGACAAATTTCCAGATAATTTGGGTGACTACAGCGAAGAACAAGGGGAGCGGTTTCACCAAGATATCAAGATTATGGAAGAGAGATATAAAGGGCGGTGGGACCACCATATGATGGCGGATTATTGCTGGAATTTACAGAGAGATTGCCTTAATCAAAAACACAATAGAAAATCACACAGAAAACGATTTTCTTGAAAGTTATCGATATGTTTTTGTTTATTATAGTTAATTTTGTTTTATTTTTTGTTTTAAGTCGAATGGATAAATAATTTTAAAATATAGATTTCAACAATATTCTCTTTTCTCAAAATTTAATTTTCTGTATAAATTAATACTTTATCTCAAAAACTAGAGTCAATTCAACAAATAAATTACTATTTTTATATTCAGTGGACCAAAATGAACCAAAATTGACTAAGATATCTCATGCCGCAGAATCACTGTTTCTCTGTGAATCAACGGTACTTATTAATAGTTTTCAATTAATCACAGTAACCGTAACATATATATTTTTGTTCTTATTATTTTTTTTTAATTATTTGTGGCAATATATGGTAAATAAATAAGATTCTCTTTGCTATCTAAGAACCTGTTAACACCTTGCTGGGATGATACTCAACCTCCCCCTCATTTCTGTCATTTGTGCATTAAAGTTGGAATTCGTTTTTGCTTAAAGCTTTCACAAACTGTTTTATTAGTCCTAATTTAATGTGGCAGCTGAGATGTTATCCAAGTCCATAACATTGCAGAACGTTCGTTTGTTTGGGTATTCAAGATTTTCTGGCAAGCCAATTTTTTCAGGACCAATCTTGATTCTTTGATTTATTGTCTTATTGATATAAGTAACATGAAAATTTGATGGGCATCATGTAAGGATTCTTAAATGTTGTTCTGTTGAGTCTGGATCCAAGCAGTTTTTAGATCGTAATCATTTAGCTCGGCTTGGGTAATCAAATTAGGTCAAAATTTCAAGTTTTAAAGGAAATATTAATAAAATATTTTTGAAACATCTGTACTTAGAAAAGTCAAAATCAAATCTATTTGGAATTACTAATATATTCAAAAACAAAATTAATAAAGTTAATGGTCTAAATATGTACTAATATCATACAAACCACCCCCGTTTAAGCGACATTCGCGATTTCAGGTTTAATTTGTTTTGGGAAAACGAGGCCGAAATTAACAGTAAATATTTGAACTGTGCACATTTCCTATTCGCATTTAAACCGAACCCACACTACCTACACATATGAAGCTTTCGAGCGATTTTCCGTTTACAATTTTTTTTATGCCATAGTGAGAGAGACTATATTAAAAAACTTTTATCTCCAAACGAAACCCGTTCCATAACTCACGTGTTCCTGGGAAATGAACAGGACCAATATGCAATAAAACCGGGGCGGTACAAGCGACCGACGGGAGTCCGGGGATTTTTATATATTGGTACTACAAATCACCGATTTTTACGTGTAATTGTCGTCCCGTAATAGCCCCGGCCGGATTTTTTCGGGACGTAACCCGTAAATCCCCGGATTATCCGATTTTTTTTTACCTCCACACCCCCGCTAATCTATCCGCCCGCTGAATATTTCCAAAACTCCACCACCGACTTAATAAACGTCATAACCCTATAACCACCACTACCACTCAACCCCCCTCCAAAAACCAACCCCGAAAACTCGCCGTTCTCGGGGCGCGAAATAAAACGACCACGGTCGATGGGGTAATAGCGAATCCATCAAGAAAACTACGACCAACCCCCCTCCCCCCCTCACCGCTCCACCAACCCACACAATTCCACAACCTCCACCCCCCTTCTCAACCCCCCATCCAACCACGCCGTGTTCGATAACAAGACGGTCAGGTTAAACGCACGAGGGTGGGAAGTAGTCTTTGGAATGTGTGTAATCAATCTTACCCATCTTTCTCGCCGGGAACCGAGAGCAGAAATGGAAGGGGGTGAAGAACGGAGACGGAAGGATACGGCGCTTTCGTGCTTTCTCCCCCAGTTTCTAGGAAGGGGTTAAATTGTAGGGGTGGGAAAATTCAGTGGAAGTGGTTGGATCGCGATAACCGGGAAGTAGATTGTTTTAGCGGTGGATTTACCCTGGCAGCGTATGAATAGAGTCTCAGGGGTAGGGGGTTGGAAAAAAATTAACAAAATCTAATTAACCTAGAGAATGCAGCAAAAAAATAAAGTACGTAAAATATGTAGGAACAAAGCCAAAATAATTAAAAAAGTAGTTGTTTAACTTACGTATGATATTGCGCTTGAAGAAAATTAAACTCCTCCTTAATCCGCTCCAAGGTGTCGGCAATCGTAAACTTGATCTGCCCCCCGCCCTGCGGTGGACCCTGAAATCGAAAAAGAAAACGTCAAAAAGGAAAACGTTAAACGAACCCCAACGTCCCAAAACCAGCGGGGAGGAAGAAGGGGATGACGAGGAGGACGTCGAAAAATTAATTGGTAACGGTCCGGGTTCGGATCGGGGACGACCGAAGGCTTCGAGGAAAATCCGCTCTGGGGGACGCTTCGTAATAACTTTTCCGGCTATTCAATGAAGCTCTTAACTAATCCGTGTAATGAGTCCGGCCCCACCCTCGTCCCTGAAGCGGTTCCCCATTCCGCGAGCGCGCCCCCCTAATGCAGTGAAAATCTTGGAACGATATAGCTGGATTACTCGGCGGTTTGTTGCGGGAGGGTTGGAGTGGAGGGAGGGATGGTCGAGTTTTCCCTCCCGTTAGTGCCACCCCTATCAACAATTTCCTATTATACTCGATTTTGGGGTTGTATTAATATACAGTGAATTTCACATAAGATGCAATATACAAAAATATATTTTTATAAAAACCAGATAAAATTTAATATGTCAATATAATTTGATATTACAGTAAAACCTCGATATAACGGATTAATACGGGGAAGGCAGTGTCCGTTATAGCTCAATAAAAATATTCAATAATCTAGTGCTGAATAAAATATAAAACTAGACTAACACTAGCACTAAAGCATAAAGTTAACATACTAGTTAGCATAAAATATGACATGTTGCATATTTTTATTGAACTAAAACTAGAACTAACATTAGACCTAGAACTAGAAAGTTTCGAGTTTAGCCGTGCGTCTGAAGACGCACTGCTAAACCCAAATGTTTCTAGTTCTAGGTCTAGTGTTAGTTCTAGTTTTAACTGTTATGCAGCGTTAGACCAAGAACTAGAATCATTTGGGTTTAGCCGTACGTCTCTTAAGACGGCTAAACCCAAATGTGTCTAATTCTAGGTTTAATGTTAGTTCTAGTGACAATGCAAGTGTAAAATTAGAACTAACGCTATATCTAAAACTAGAATCATTCGGGTTTAGCCGCCTTTAGAGACGTGCGGCTAAACCTAAATGATTCTAGTTCTAGGTATAGTGTTAGTTTAACATAATAATAGTGTTAGTTCTAGTTTTAATTGTTATGCATCGCTAGATCAAGAACTAGAGTCATTCGGGTTTAGCCGTCTTAAGAGATATATGCTAAACCCAAATATTTCTAGTTCAAGGTCTAATGTTAGTTCTAGTGACAATGCAACTGTAAAACTAGAACTAACACTATGCCTAGAACTAGAATCATATCGGTTTAGCCGTCTTTAGAGACGTGCGGCTAAATCCAAATATTTCTAGTTCTAGGTCTAATGTTAGTTCTAGTGACAGTGTAAGTGTAATACTAGAATTAACACTATACCTAGAACTAGAATCATTTGGGTTTAGCCGTCTTTAGAGACGTGCGGCTAAACCCAAACGATTCTAGTTGTAGGTATAGTGTTAGTTTAACATAATAATAGTGTTAGTTCTAGTTTTAATTGTTATGCAGCGCTAGACTAAGAACTAGAATTATTCGGGTTTAGCCGTCTTAAGAAACTAGAATGTAATAATGGATATTCTATTAAAGAGATTTTTTACCGCATTCATCAGAACCATATTAATAATCTCATTTATCCTAAATTTTCTAAACAACCTTTTTATATTTCTTCACCTTATCAGCCTTACTTGCAGGAGTCTCTCTGAAAAATTGAAGAATCTATCTCCGGTATTTACTGCTGGATATGAACTGGGACAGATTTTAACTAATAATATACATACATTTTATTTATAAACTAAATTTATAAACAATATAGTTTCTATATTGGCCGAACGGGGCGCAGTATAAAGACTAGGTACAGGGAACACATAACTGAAACATCTTCGACTTTCAATAAACATTTAAAAGAGAATAATCATAACTCTAACATTTCCGACATAAAACTGTTAAAATAACAAAAAATCAAAAAAAAAAATGATCTTATTAACCTATACAATAAAAAAAACTCCTAACCTTGTCCTCAATGAAATCACAGAATTTTATAATAACAGATTATTCTTGAAAATTTAAATTTATTTCAAATTTGTCGCCTTTGCTGGTTCGTTGCAAACTTCATGCTAGTCATCGTTACATCTCTCTCTGTCTAACGTTAAGTTAATTTCAGACTGGTGTTAAAAAATATTCGAATAAGTGCGCACACTATTTTGAATCACGAAAATTACGAATTATCATTATTTTTGTCAACGCACGAAGTTTCAATCGTTATGGTTTTTCAATTTTTTCATTGTTATGTACACTTTTCATAATCTCCTGATGATCATTTCTCGTTAACTTAAGGGTAAGAAACTTTATAAACTTTTAACAACAATAAATTCAATTTAAATTTATTATAGTTGTACCTGAAGGATGTTCTAAAAAAGCGAAACAATTGTAGTACATAATCGCAAATAAATACAGGGTCGCTGATATGTATGGAAACATTCGGTTATCTCCTAAGTAAGATAGCTAGTAATCTTAAGATACAAAAGTTTTAGTGTTTTTTAAAATCTATTACACTAAGGACAAATTAAGTATACAGGGTCAATCAAAAAGTTATAACGAATCCAACATTCTTTAATGGAACACCCTGTATGTTATTCTTTATCTCGAAATTCTAAACAAAATTCATGTAGCACATCGTAAACCCAAACTTAACCGTTTTCGGCATATTACTTTGAAAATCACTTTTATAAATTACACAAAAATATTTTCACCGATTATGTTTTTAATTCATCAAGGTACCTTTGAAAGTTTCTCATCTACATAGCAACGTAGTGACATAACACATGTCAAAAATACAAAAATTGTTTAAATAATTTTCACCCAAAGATAAATTATGTCACTAATTAGATAAATTCTTAAATTTTTAAAAGCTCGATATCTGGAAATCGGTTAAGTTAAGGTCTATGATGTGTTACATGAATTTTGTTTAGAATTTCGAGATGAACTGAAATATGGAATAATATAGAGAGTGTAAAGAAAACGTAATTTTGTTTCGTCATAACTTGTTGACTGACACTGTACACTTAATTTTTAAACTTTTGTATCTCAATATTTTTCGATATAGTAGAAACCACGAGAGCTGGCAGTGAGTCATCGCTCAAAAATGGTATGAATCAAGATATGGACGTACGACTTAGATTATTTCACCACATACATTTAAATGTAGGTTATGTTAGTAATGGAGGTTATATGTCAAACATTGTCAAAGATAGGAGAGGTTAATCAGTGAAAAAGCGTTAATATTAATTTATAAAAAAGTTGATGCAATTATTAATTTATTTACAGGTCGCAAGGGTTTATGTAAGTTTTATTTAAACAGTGGTTCAACGCTCATAAGACGTTTAGATTTGAGGTTAATATTACGGCAGGTACATTAGTTAGAAGAACAGACGTACTTTTTCGACGTGGCTATTTGAATTGTACAGCAGACATATTAAACTAATGCTATCCCTTTCTAACACATATTACTCTCTAGCGGTTTGTGAATTTTAATTTAGTACGTATGGCATTTGTAAGAGCGAAAACGATGATTCACTGCTATCTCTCGTTGTTTCTACTATAGCTATCTTACTTTAGGAGATAACTGACCGTTTCCATACATATCAGCGCCCCTGTATATATCATTGAGATATTTTTTACTTTGATAATCTCACAATTATGATATTATTATTATTATTATCACACAATGAACCTGGAGTCTCATATTACTAAACTCGAATGTGTTGAGTTCTAGGTCTAATGTTAGTTCTAGTGACAGTGCAAGTGTAAAACTAGAACTAACACTAGACCTAGAATTAGAAACGTTCCCGAAACTTTCTAGTTCTACACCTAGTGTTATAGTTCTAGTTTTAATTGTTATACAGCGCTAGACCAAAAACTAGAATCATTCGGGTTTAGCCGTCTTAAGAGACATGAGGCTAAACCCGAATGATTCTAGTTCTAGTGATAGTGCTAATGCAATACTAGAAAAAACACTAGACCTAGAACTAGAAACATTCGGATTTAGCCGCACGTCTCTCAAGATGGCTAAACCCGTATGATTCTAGTTTTAGGTTTTCTGTTAATTCTAGTGCTAGTGTAAAACTAGAACTAACACTAGACCTAGAACTTATACTAGATATTTCCTAGATCTAGGTCTAGTATTAGTTCTAGTTTTAGTGCAATAAAAATATGCAACATAGTGATATCTTATGATAACTTCAGCTACTTATCACTGTCCTTAGAACTAACATTAGACCTAGAACTAGAAATATTCGGGTTTAGCCGCACGTCTTTCAAGACGGCTAAACCCGAATGATTCTAGTTGTAAGTCTTGTGTTAGTTTTAGTATTTCATTAACACTATCACTAGAACTAATCCTAGACCTAGAACTAGAAACATTCGGGTTTAGCCGCACGTCTCTCAAGACGGCTAAATCCGAATGATTTTAGTTTTAGGTCTTGTGTTAATTCTAGTGCTAGTGTAAAACTAGAACTAACACTAGACCTAGAACTTATACTAGATACTTCCTAGATCTAGGTCTAGTATTAGTTCTAGTTTTAGTGCAATAAAAATTTGCAACATAGTGATATCTTATGCTAACTTCCGCTACTTATTACTGTCCTTAGAACTAACATTTGACCTAGAACTAGAAATATTCGGGTTTAGCCGCACGTCTTTCAAGACGGCTAAACCCGAATGATTCTAGTTGTAAGTCTTGTGTTAGTTTTAGTATTTCATTAACACTATCACTAGAACTAATCCTAGACCTAGAACTAGAAACATTCGGGTTTAGCCGCACGTCTCTCAAGACGGCTAAATCCGAATGATTTTAGTTTTAGGTCTTGTGTTAATTCTAGTGCTAGTGTAAAACTAGAACTAACACTAGACCTAGAACTTATACTAGATACTTCCTAGATCTAGGTCTAGTATTAGTTCTAGTTTTAGTGCAATAAAAATTTGCAACATAGTGATATCTTATGCTAACTTCCG